AGTGGATAGAGCACTGGGCTTGGAGGCCAGAAGATTCATCTTCCGGAATTCAAATCTAGCCTCAGACACTTAATAGCTATGTGACCCTGTTTACCTCAGTTTCCTCATCTGTAAAATGAACTGGACAAGAAAATGGCAAACCACTCTAGTATCCTTGCCAAGAAAACCCCAATTTGACATGACTGAAAACAACAACAACTTGGTTCTGTGTCATGATCCATTCTACCTCTAACAATATTAAATAATAATATACAGTAACTTCTTGAAATTACAACTTAGAATTAACTCATAGGTAATACCATTGATCAAATCTTTCTGAAGACATTAGTCCACAATTTGAAAATGGAAACTAGGCATATTTTTGATATATACTGAGATCTTGTATTCTGAACTTGGGTTTGCCTTTTGGCAAGTGTTTTCTTTCATCTTTTTGAAAAATAAAGATCCTTGGGGTACCTCATCAGACTTGCCTTTTATTATAATCTTTGTCCTTTTGTGCCATATTTATAAAGTTTTTCTAGAAAGGTCCCATGAATATGTAAATAACCATGTACAGTTGATGTCTTTAATGACACATAAATGAATTTTCTAGACATCTGAAGCTAACTCTTTTAAATGCGAAAGCTTTATCTTCATTTTAGCCAATTTGAAGTTTCTATAATATTCATTTCTTGCTTTCTTAAAAACATCTTTGACTCTTCTTTCTTACTCCTATACCATGTTGTTTTCCTGGTTCTATCAATTCTATTTATGTTGCATCTTTTAAATCTTTTCCCTCCTATTCCCTTCCAGTAATACAGCCAGAATTCGAGACTTCATTACTATACTCCGGGGTTATTGTAGTAATTTTCTAACTGATCTTCCACCCTCTAGTTTCTCTACACACACCATGTGCAAAATCTTCCCCTCTCCAACCAAATAAAGTATAAACTCCTTATCCTGGCATTCGAGGCCTACTGAAATCTCAAATCATCTAATTTGTTTAATCATATTTAACATTAATTCCTGATTTTTTTCTACCTTCCAAGCAAATAAGACCATTCACCATTCCTCGTTCTTATTTATACAATGTAATGTTTTCTCTCCCTTGTTCAAACCATAACTCATGCCCAGAATAGACTCTTTCTAACCTCCCCCAATTTTTTCTTTGTGCAAATTTTTTAACTTTTTTCCTGTTTTTGAGGCCTAACTCAGGCTCCACCTCCATGAAGTCTTCTTTGATGCCTCTGTTAAATCAATAAGCCTTGGTTTTTTTTTTTTTTTTTTTCCCCTAAAGCACTAACTGTTGGTAACTGTATGAGGTGCTGGGAGAGTTCCAACTTCCAACTGGAAGTTCTTTCTCCTTCCTTGAATGTTTAATAGCAGGACCATGGACTTGTGCTTTGTGTTCATTTCCTTACTTTATTAGAGTTATTTGTGTTCATGCCTTATCTCACCTCCTAGATTATAAAAGCTTCTTGAGGGCAGGGAGATAGTGTGATATAATGGCTAGAACACTAGATTGGGAGTCATAAGACCCAGATTCTAGTCCTAGCCCTGCCATGAACTTCCAAATGATCTTGGGCAAGCTACTTCACCTCTGTGTTTCTGTTAATGATGTACAAGCTTCCTTCCAACTCTCAAATTCTAAGATTTCTTTGTAGTGTACTATAAGCTCCATGAGAGGAAAGGAGAAGAGGAACCTGTTATCTAAATTATCCAAATTCTGCATCTTCTTCACTTAGGACAGTTTTCTTGCATGTAGTAAATGTTAATTGATGTGAACTTTTTTTCCTATCACCTAGCATAGGGCCGAATGAATAATAGGTACTTAATAAAAGTTTATTGGACTGAATTGAAGCAAAGTGTGTTGAACATAATTTAAACTTTCTTGTTGACATATTGTTTTAGCCATCAATTACTGTAGTCTTTTATGTTGATACTTAAGTACTTCAGTAAATTTCTAATCTTATTGAAATGAATATTTCTTCTAAAAGTATAGATCCCAGCCCATCGAAATCTCACCTGTGTAATCTTGTCCATATTCTACTATAAATTCCCTACAGAAGATCTCCTTGATGTGCTAGAGGCCTCCTTCTGTCTTGTTAAATTTTATGGGCAGTATTTGAAAACTTGGGCTTCATCTTTGTTACTGGATTACTTCCTTTTCTGATAATACATTTCCCATGATATCCCTTTTGCTGTTTCTTAATGGCAGTTAGGTAGCTCCATGGAGAGAGCACTAGGCCTGGAATCAGGAATACCTTTCAAGTATGGCCTCCACTACTTTCTAGCTGTGTGACCCTGGGCAAGTCACCTAACGTTTGCCTCACCTGTAAAATGAGAATATTAATAGCACCTACCTCACAGATTTGTTGTGAAGCTCAAATGAAATAATATTTGTAAAGTGCTTAGCATAGTGCATAGTACATAGTAGATGCTTAATAAATGCTTGTGTCTCCTCCCTCCTTCCCCCATACTCTCCCTTCCTTTTCCTCCTTCCCTTCTTGAACCTAGGTCATTTTTGGTAAGATCTTGTAACGTATTTACACCTATTGTATTTTTTTCTCCATTGTCTTTTAGGTCATCCATGAAACAGTTTCCATTAGTTCCAAATTAGTATTTCTTACACCTCCCTTGTTAGCAGATAAATCTACTTCTTGCAGCTTTCCCCCTTGTAATTGCATGTTTTTAATCTAATGAAGTCTGTTAGAATTCTGTGTAAATTAAGACTCAGTAAACTCTAAAATAATGAACTTAAGCCCTTCCCTGTGCCCACCTTTATGATAATTCCATTGGGTATGGGGTGAGGACTGGGATACTCAGAGGCTTTTAAAATTACTTCCTGGCTAGCCATCTGACTACAGGGTAAATGGGATGCTGAAATTACAATCTCATAGTGAAATCTTTGAGCTTTAAAATAATTTTAAAAATTATTTCAGAAGTAGAGGGATTTTTGTGGTGGCATTCCTTTTTTTCTGGTGTTTATTTTTTTTAAAAGGAAAATCCTGTTTCTGTTTTAAAAAACTGATTAAACAATCATTTATTTGTGTCCATCCTGCTCTTTGATCTAAGTCAGGACTGGACAAGACTGGACCTTCCTTGACAGGTTTTTAGTGGTAGTGATCCTAAACAGCCTTTGAATCTTCATTAATGTTTAGGATCTTGAGGAGACCAGATAATTTGGAGATTGCTCTAAAGATTTGAGTTAGTGTTTATCTGATCAGAATTTGTTGTTGTTGAGTTGTTTCAGTCGCATCTGACTTTTTGTAACCCTATTTGAGGTTTTCTTGGCAAAGATGCTAGAGTAGTTTGTCATTTCCTTCTCCAGCTCATTTTCCAGATGAGGAAACTGAGGCATACAGGATTAAGTGACTTGTGCAGAATCACACAAAACTCATCATTGTCTGAGATCAGATTTGAAGGCAGGAAGGAGTCTTTTCAGACCTGGCACTTCATTGACTGCACCAAAGCTGCTCCTAGCTTATTAGCTGATTAGAATGGCCCAACATTAAATCAGACTTTTGAGCTTGCTTTAATAATTATCATTCTCATCATTTTATAGTGCTTTTGAGGTTTGCAAAGCACTTTATAAATATTTCATTTTATCCTCACAACAACCCTAGGAGATAGACCCTTAGTATCTCCATTTTACGGTTGGGGCAACTGAGGCAGACAAATTAAGTGACTTGCCCAGTGTCATATCACTAGTAAGCATCTGAATCAGGTCTTTCTGACTCCAAATCCAGCTCTCTATCCACTTCGATACCTAGCTGCCCTAGGGAAGGGATGCCAACAGGATTTTCTCAAGATTTTCAGGACTGGGGCTAATAACCAAGGCTGCCACCACCACTGAAATATGGATTTTCAGTTCAGCCTTGGGCTCCACCCAGATGAGACAGCAAGCTTAATGTCAGGAAGAATAACATTCAACTCTGTAACTAAACAAGGATTAGGAAACCTAGGATCAAATTCTGGCTTTAATTATCTCACTAGTTTGTGATCATGGGTAAGTCAATTTGAACTTCTGTTTTTCATAATTGTAGAGTGGTGATAATAATACTTACACTGTCTGCCTTACAAGGTATGAGGAAAGTTGTTTTTGTTTTTATTTAAAATTATGCTTTTGGAAACTATTTGAGGGTGTTGAGTAGAAGGAGATTGGTAAGAGTATATTAAGATGATGTTAGTCTGCTGCCTATTCTTTTGTTCACAGGTATGTAAATTACAGCCACTCTGAGCCTCAGTTTTTTCAGTTGCCAATAACACATTTATGTGTAGCACCTCATAATTTACTGAGTACTCTAATGAAACTATAGGCTAGGAATAGGAACTTGACCTATGAGTTCAATGGTCTAGGGAATTCCTTGGTAGAGAAACTTCTACCAATGCAGATCAATAACATCTCCGCAACTTATAGTTTAAGAGCTGCTTTGAACACTGAGAAGCCAGTGACAGGAATAGAATACATGATGAATGATTTGTGACTGAAAATTTGTGCACGGTCCCTTCTCTGGTCTTGAGTTCTTCCTCATCTCCAGGTATAGTTTTTTTCTTAGCAGTGTTTTGAGTTGGTGTGATAAATAAGGGTAAAATCAGGAAAATCTTTAATACTAAGAAATTGTTTTGGTGTCTTAGGAGGCATAGGGTTGGGCATTATATCACATAGTGTTTATTGGTGAGGGTGTACATCTGGAAAGTATACATCCTCCTATTCCCTGAGTTTTTCTTCCTCTCTGTAATTTTTATTCTGCCTTCTACTCCCATACTTAGGCAAGCCTTTTCTCCACTCTTCCCATCCATATAACTTTGAAACCAACTGAAATTCAATAAAAGGCCACAGGGAAAATATAAGCACATGTTGGCAAGGGTATATGTACTTGTAGGGCCCAGGGAGAGGTGTCTGAGGGTAGGAGTAATTCTTTCGCATTTCAAAGACCCTTTCCTTATTGCCAGTTACTAGTTATTAGAGGTGAAAGATCTCATGTAAATGTTCTTTAGATATATTATTTTGTTCACAGAAAGCAAGACTGTCGACTAATAGAAAATGATGAAAAAGATTGAATTATTTTCGAATGACAGCCCAATGAACCCTGAAGACAAATGAGTAAAATCAATAAAAACGTGATTTTGGCTCTTTTAACTCTGACAAGTTCAATGTTTCTGCTATTTCAGTTATACTACTACAAGCACTATTTATCTCCAAAGGTAACTTTTTTTTTATTCTTCTTTTCTCTATTGGAGACAATCTAATTGTGTGATTTTGCAGTCTAAGAACAGCAAATCTATTGTCTTTGCAGTATTACAAAATTACCGGTAGTTTAATAAAAAAATCTTTGTAAAGGTACTTTGAATCAGTTCTTAAATTCTTAATAGGCTACCAAATAAAAATTTTTAGATGTTGGTTTGATTTTTGCAATATCAAAACAAATATGCTAATAAGTGTCTACAGGGTTAAATCTACTAAACTGTCTCATGTTGACCCTGTGTTCCTGTATTTGAAGAGTTGAGATTCTTTTATAGAGATTTCTTTTACTTTAAGTAACTTCATTTAAGGAAATACTGAATTTGCATAATTGATGAGTTAGAGAATGAATTTGTTTGCATAACCTAATAAAAAGAATTTTCAGGTTGAAATATGTTATTATATGGCATCACATACTGGTGAAATGTGATACTGCAGGTCTACTTTCATTGGCTGTCCTAATTATTTCATCAATAGAAGTTACTTTAGGAAAAGCTTCTATAACTCAGAAGGAAAATCATAAAGTTGGGAAGGTACTGTGGAGTTCTGAGCAGCAGGTATAATCCTTCTGACATACTTGACAGTCCAGTAAGCTTACAGATATCTTAATTTATTTCTTGCTTAAGAATTTCAATTCAGGCTATTGGGGGTATTTTTTCCCATGAGACTATATCTCAAGTTTTGTATAGAAAAATAAAATTTATCTTACAACTAAGTTTTCTAAATGTATCTGTGATATACCATCTGCTTTGTTTAAAGGGGCCATAGCCATTGTGACTGAAAATATTTTTAATATAAAGATTTTTTTTTATTGTAAGTTTACTTTTTTATGGACTTAAATGGCAACAGACATGAATATTTAAGCATACAAAGAACAACACAAAAAGAACACTGTGAAATTCTAATTTTTGCAGTTTGAGTTTTTAAAGTATGTATTAAGTTTAACATGATAGTAATAAAACTGCCTTTCTTGTTTGTCCCCTTCTGAACTTCCTTTTCTGTATCTTTTTAATGTTTCATTAATACTTCTTATTTTTCCCATCATGGTTACTACTCACCAAATGTCTCCCTCCACCCAAAAAAATTCCTCCCAGTAAGTATAATTAGGCAAAACAAATCCTCACATTAGCCATGTCTGGAAACAAAGCTCCTTCTGCCTCTCTAGTTCATCATCTATCTATATAAAAAAGTGAGAAATATCTTTAATCATCAGTCTTCTGAGCTATGAGTCATTTTATTGATCAAAATTCTAAAGTTTTTCAAAGTTATTTAATTATTGTAATATAAATTGTTCTCTTTGTTCAGTTCATATCAGTCTTCCTAGGATTCAGATTTTTCTGAATCTGCAGCATAACAATATTCCATTACATTCATATACCATATGTTACGACTGTTTGGAGTAGCTCCTCCCAAATTCACACTCATAGGTTGGACCCCTTGACAACCGTCCCAGTTTCAAGGCTCCCTTTGGGTCCCTGCTCTTAAAACTATAGCTCAGGAGCATCCACTGATGTGTTTACTTTAAGTAGTCAGTCAAAGGCTGTAATTCAAAGCAAAGGTGTTTACTAAAATGATATAGTAAGAATAGTACTGCAAAATATTTCATAAATCTGAGGTATTTCTTTTCTCGTTGATGTCCACATGCTGCTTCCCCTCTTTTCTCGGTATGTATTTCTACCTACTTTCTCTCTGGAGTGATGCCTCTTACCAGGACAGCTGATCCACTGTAAGACACCGTTGCTGAAGCAGAGAGAGACAAGTCCTTCCTCCTCCCTTCCTCCCTTTGTTGCATTCTGGAAAAAGTATAGGGGATAGGGCAAAGAGTTATTCCCTCTCAAAAGATAGCTTCTTTTGCCAGAGCTGGCTCCTTTTTGGGGACTAGACATGATGTTTCTGACTGACTTTAGAGCTGGTAAACTTGTTTTTTAAAAGTCACCGGGGGGTGGTTGATTCTTTAGCTAATGGCTGGTCATCCTATAATTCCATCCAGTTTGAGAAAGCTCACAGCTCCTTTTATAAATTTTCATAAAGTTTTTATTTAATTTTTTCTCATTATGAACTTAATTATCAACAAATACTTTAAGATTCAAAAAATATGAAGAGGATTGATTACATAAGAAACTTTGAACCTCTATTACATAGTGTATAAAAAACTCTACCTCACTTAAATCCAATTCACATGCACATCAAGACATCACCCCATGATGTCATTGGTCCTCTTCAAAAAAGAAGGATGAGCAACAATATAAAAATATAAAATTTAAGAAGGTAATGACAAAATTGCTCTGTCTTCCATGTTTTTGTTTCTTTTTTTCTCTTCTGTGCATTTAAAAAAATCTTTTTGATATTCCACCCCAAGCCCTTCATTTATCACTACCTACTAGGCCACCTTCCTCCAAGTAGAAGCCCTCCCTTGTAATAAGTATATATAGTTAAGCAAAACAAATTAACAAATTGGCCATGCCTAAAAATTCCATTATGTCTTATTTTGTCCCTCTGGTCCATTATGTCTGTGCCAAGAGGTGGGAGATAAGTTTCGTGATCAGTCTGATGAAGTCCTTCCTGATTTGTCTCTGTCTCTGCTTTGGTCAGATTTCTGAAGTTATTCAGAATCGTTTCCCATCACATTATTATTATGGTCATCATGTAAATTATTCTCCTGGTTCTGTTCACTTATTCTGTATCAGTTTATATGTGTGTTCCCATCTGAATCCATCATATTCATAATTTCTAATGGCAAAATAACATTTAGTCATATATCACATTTTGTTCAGACTTTCTCCAAGTAATAAACATCTTGTTTGTTCCCATTTTTTTGTTACAAGAAAAAGTACTGCTATAAATAAGCTTATACATATAAGCCCTTTCTCTCCTTGACCTTGGAATATTTGCGTTATACTGACTATTGCTTGGTCAAGGAGTATTTGTAATTAATGACTTTTGAGGTGTAGTTCTACATTGTTTTCCTGAGTTTTTATAATTTATTGCTCTCTGTTCATAATTTGGAGCATTTTATATAGTTAATAGCTTGCATTTCTTCTTTTGAAAACTGCCAGTTCATGGACTTTGACCACTTACCTATTGAGGAGTAATTTAATTGAGATTTAGGGGCAGCTAGGTGGCACAGTGGATAAAGCACCAGCCCTGAAGTCAGGAAGACCTGAGTTCAAAACTGACCTTAGACCAAACACTTGACGCATACTAGTTGTGTGACCCTGGGCAAGTCACTTAACCCCAATTGCCTTAAAAAAAAAATTTAATTGAGATTTAGGTAAGGTTTCAGTTGCTTTCCTTATATTATATATTATTTAAAGCCTGTAATTTCTGTACTATTTTTTTTTTTACCATTAACAATAGTTAAAAGAAGTAAAGTACTGAAAATCAGAGTTTTGTGTTATAGTAGAAAATGTTGAAAGCAAAAATCGTAAATTATACCAAAACAATATTGTATGTGTTTTATAGCTTAATTTTTACCAATATCTTAGCATTTTAAAGGACCATTGCTAGCATGTCAATGTTGATATCTAAAACTATTTTAAGATATTTAAAAGTAGGGGTAGCTAAGTGGCACAGTGAATACAGCACTGGCCCTGGATTCAGGAGGGCCTGAGTTCAAATGTGACCTCAGACATATAACACTTACTAGCTGTGTGACTCTGGGCAAGTCACTTAACCCTATTTTCTAGCCAAAAAAAAAAAAAAAAGATATTTAAAAGTAGCACAAGTGATAACCTGAAGTTACACCTATATTGATCAGAAATAAAGTCCTTTCTTTATAGAGCACTTCTTTCAGGTAATAGCCCCATTATTTGCTACCTTTTTGTAAGTGGCAGGATTGTTATGACTTCTTTTTCAACTCTGTGTCTTTTTAGTCAAAATTTAAAAGCCCATTGATGTGCAGTGTTTTTTCAATTTAGGCTTTGGGAAATCACAGACTTGCCAATATTTTCCCCATTCAAGTGGAAGTGTAGAAACTTGTTGCTTGAATTGTGTTTGATGGCAGATAATTATATGTGAAATAAAAAATAGTTGAGGAAATTGTTCCGTAGGGAAAGGAGTACATAATGATATCTTTGAGAGTTTAAAAACTTATTTCATATCAATTTCTGAATTGTACTTCTTCATTGCTGTGACTCATGATTGCCACATTTTAGAGGAATAAAATTTTCAGGTGACCCCAAAGGGCCTTATATGTGTAAAGGGTGGCAGCATATTACCAGTGTGATAACTTGTAGTATAAAAGACCTCATCAGTAATATGAATGACCAAAAGAGAAAGGGCTGATTACATAGAGTAAAGAATGACATATGTTCAGCCCAAGTTCCACAGTGTTATTTAAAAGAATTTGAGCAAGGCAACTGGCCAGTTGAGTGGATTCTCTGTGAAGGACTTACCAAAAGAAGCGAGCAAGAATTTTGGGAAGGCATGTGGGAAGAATATAGGAAAGTATAAATCACTTCTCATTTGTACTGGTAAGAGTCTGTCACTGTATCTGGAGTGCCTACATTTAGGAGATCATTAATCCATTAAAATATTAAAGTATTTTATTGGATAAATGTGAAAAGCATTTATTGACGGGAATTATGGAGAGGGATGGACACATAATCAAATTAAGATTGCTTAGTATAGTAGGCAAAATATTACAAGTTAGTCCATTTCATCAACCTATTTCATCATCTGTAAAATAGGGATAATAACATCCACCTGACAAGGTCTACCTGACAGTATCAAATGAGATAATTTATGTAAATGCTTTACAGATTTTAAAGTCATATTTATGTGAACTATTACTAATTCAGAGAAATATTCAGTTGGTAATATATCTGGAAATGCCTTTTTTTTTTTTTTAAAGGCAATTGGGGTTAAGTGGCTTGCCCAGGGTCACACAGCTAGTAAGTGTCAAGTGTTTGGTCTAAGGCTGCATTTGAACTCAGGTCCTCCTGACTTCAGGGCCAGCGCTGTA